CTTTTTTTTTTTTTTTTTGTTATATGATTGTTTGCCAAGAGATTATCTAAATTGCAGGTTGTTGCGAGGGATTTTTAAACAATTGAGTTCAGTGAATCGAGCTGGGTTCGATGGAACCTATTTGTTGGTTACATCGAACCCAGATTTGCTAGGTTTCTTGAAGAATAGAAATAGTAACCGATGGGAAAGAAGCAATTCTTAGTGGTGATGTAGGACCCATTTGGATGAATTTTGTGCGTTTTCGCCAGGGTAGCATGTGACATGGCAAAAGTTTTATGCATGTCATCACTTTTTTAAGTTTTGCTCTCCACGTCATCAAAAAAAATATAAAAAATGCCACCTAAGCAGGGTTAACGGCCCAAATTAACAGAAGGACTAACGGAGTGCATTTCGTATAGTTGAGGGATCAAAAAAGTGCAAAAAATTGTTGAGGGACCAAAAATGTGCATTTCATAAAGTTGAGGGACCAAATTAAGCATTTAACCTATAATAAAATAAGGTGTCAAAGAAGAAATTCTCCAGGACCAAAAAGGAAAGAATGAAATTTTTTCCAAAACATAATTGAATTCATCTCTCAATGGTCCTCTTTTCTGGCACACAATTTTTTTTTTTTTTTATCTTGATTGTATAATTGAAGACAACTGTCTCTCATCTTTTATCTCATTTTACACGCATGTCGTTCGACTCAAATTCAAAACTTTTTATTTTTAACGAAAAGAAATGATCATCGAATTATTTAATTCATTAACTTCTCACACACAATTTAATTGAATTTAGAATGAAATTTCATGATAACATCTTATTTTCATTAGTTATTGCCGTTGTGCTCACTCAATTGAAAATATTATGAAAAAAAAAAAAATAATACACTGGTGAACTGCCGTTTGTGAACCGCAAGAAAATAAATGTAGTAAAAGACCTTTTTCCTATAGTGATGGAATCATCCAATTGTCGTTAGTCATTGTCATTGTGCCCACCCAATTGGAAATGCCGTGAAAAAAAGTGAAAAGAAACAAGTCAACTACCGTATGTGAAACACCAGAAAATAAATGTGGGAAAAGGCCAATTTTTCCCTACTGAAACATACCTCAACTTTAAAAACAATCAAAATTATTCTTAAATTTTCGTTTTTAACTTAAGTAGGTACTTTTATTAAAAAA